GCTTGCTGGCTGGGGAATTCTGGGAATTGAAGTCCACACATCTTCAAGCTGCCAAGGTTGAGGAACACTGCTCTTGAGGACAGAAACCCAATTGTGTGTGGCTGGGGAAGAGTGCCTCTTGTGCCTTTGAAGCTAAAATGGGATTAAGATGGGTTAAAATTAGTGTGTTGGAGAAGACTCCTGAGAATACCATGGACAGACAAGAAAACAAACCGATGGATCATCAAACAAATCAACCCAGAGTTCTCACTCCAGGCAGAAATAACCAGGCTCAAATTATCCTACTTTGGAGACATTCTACGAAGACCCAGCTCTCTGGAGAAGGCTGTAATGATGGGAAATGTGGAAGGAAAGGGAAGGAAAGGATGATAAGCAGCTAGGTGAATGGATTCAGCTACATTGGCGATAAATGCGCCATTGGAAGACTCGAAAGACCAGGCTAGGGACAGATTGTCATGGAGAAAATCTATCTTTGTGGTCAGTAGGTGTAATTGTATGTGGGAATGACCTTGGGAGACAGGAGGAAGAGCCACAGACCAGGCAATGGTCAGATAAGAGGCAGCTGAGCCTGCGGAAGGAAGGGGGCATAGCAAACATCTCAGAAGGGACCCTCCCTGCTTTCTTGGACTGTAAAGGCGAGCGGGGAGAGATGTACTTTCAGGCTTGCAAGATTCTGTTAACCATACAATAAAGATAGAGCTAATACTCCTGGGCGTGCTTCTTATCTGGACTACTTTGCAAGGCTGACACTAGGAGCTGCATATGACTTGATGGCACATAATCAACATCAACAAAACTAGTGTGAGGTGGGCACTATTAGAACCTATTTCGGATCTGAATACCCCAGTTCTCAACCACTATTCTGAACGAATCCGGAATAAAAGGCCTGCTTTGGGGACTGGAAGCCACGACCCAAGTAATTATTAAAAGAAAGGGACCAGAGTGGCCTTCTCCAACCCAGTGCCCTCCGCGCATATTGGATATCAGCCTTGACAGCACTGCCACCTGCACGCTGGCAATAAGGGCGCCCGGCGGGACGAAACGGCGCGGTTGGCAACTGCGCGTCTTCCCACCGACGGCCGCTAGAGGGCGCGGGCGGCTCTCCTAGGCAAGGCGCTGCTAGCTCCTCCCTTCGCTCTCATGGCCGCCCTCGCGTTGCTCCGCTCGGCCCTGGGCTGGAGAGCGAGGCCCGTTTACTCCCGCAGGTAAGTGCGCGAGGGGGCTGCCCCCCACCCAGTGGGGGTGCAGGCGAA